CAGCTCTGGGAGCGCGAGGCCAACAAGTGGACCCACATACCCACCGGGATCAACAGCATCTGCGGCGGATGGGCGAAGCTCGCCAACGGCAACGTGGGCATGTATGCCGGTGAGCCGTGGCCGGCAGGTGGTTACTGTCCTGGATCAGGGTGTGCGGCCCCTCACCTTGCAACCCAAAAAAACACAAAATCTGGAGCATTATGCCAGGCTGGTGCTCTTGCTTGAGCGGGCCAAAACAGTCGTTGCTGTATAATCCTGGAATCAGACGCGCCTCGCCCACAATGCACCCCCCCGTCCCCCCCCCCCACACACACACACCCTACATACCCTGGGCACGCAGGCCACTACCAAACCCTTGAGGTGAGGCGGAAGGGGAGGCCACCCCAAAACCATGCGCGTGGAGCTGCGCGCTGCGAGCTGTGGCCTGCGTGCTATCTCAACCCCCACATGGTGGGGGTTGAGCTCAACCCCCAGCACTCACGCGACCTGCAGCGCTCGCGAGCGTTGCTCCCTTCCGCCACGCAACCCCGGCAATTCCCCTCTCATTTCTTACCACCCGGCTCGATGCGACCTGCCTGCAAACCAATCCCACCCCCTTCTGGCGCTGATCCCTGCCACGCATGCATATATGTGTACCGCCAGTACAAGCAAACATTTGGGATGAACCGCATTGTGATGTACGACCACACGCTCAGGCGCACCTCTATCAAGTGAGAGCGCCAGCGGGTGGCACGTGGGTTGTTACGCACCCGCCAGGGCATGCCTGCAGCGCTGGTCGCGTTAGGCTGTCTGTGCAAACCGCTGCCTTCGCGTCCGCGCTCGCTCCCCTGCGGCGGCGCGTATTGAGCCACCTCCCGGCCACCTCGGATCGGGGTCGAACACAAAGCCGCCAGCAGCGCCCTGCAGAACCGACCCCCTTTCGCACGTGCCTCCGCCAGCCGAGGCTGGCCCCGACACGCATAGACGCGTCGTGCGCCACACTCTTCCTTCACACTCTGCGTTCACACTGCGTATGTCCATAACCAGCCGGCCGCCACACCACACGACCCTGCTCCCAGGGCCAACCTGACAGCGCAGCGGTGGTACCCCACGGCCCTCGCCCTGCCCAATGGCGACGTATGGGTGCCTGGCGGCACCTGGGCGCAGAAGCCCAACGGCACCTGGCCCAAGGCGGCCGGCGCCGATGTGTACCGTCCTTACGACAATCGGGTGACGCAGGTGCCCCTTAACAAGAAGCTGTGGGAAGCCGCGATCGGGAACTGGTGAGGCGGCGAGGGGCGTCGGTCGGTGGGCGTTGCCGGAGGTGACCGCCGGGTCTGCTTGCAGCGAACTCGATTTCAGCGGCGGGTCGCAGACTGTGCAGCCGACTGTGGTGATATGCAGGTGCAGCTTTGACACGGGCCATGCGAAGCTGCTCGCTGCCAAGTCGCCAGGCCTCGCTGGCCTGCCTGCCACTGTCCACCTCCATGCTGACCTACTTCTGCTCACCAAAGGCCCTACAACATCACCTATTATCCAACATCTAACAACACACAGGTCTAATCATTTTCGTCTAATTAACACCAACAATTACCATCAAGTCTCGACATCTCATTATATCCACCCACATCACCTGCACCCTGGCAGGTACATGGGGTCACTCGTGCTGCCCAGCGGCAAGGTGGCGACAATGAATATGAACATGATGCAGGTGCGAGGGGGTGGGGTTGACTATTTCGAGGGCTGGGGCCGACAGGTCGGTTGGTTGGTTGGCCTGCTCAAAAGCCCCTGTGTGGGGCTGCTTGCTCGGAGCTGATTCTCACAGGAATAAGAAAGCCTACAAAGCCCTTGCACCAACCGCGCAGTCAGGCTGAGAAATGATCCTCAGATATGTGAACTTTGTGCAGCGAGGCCGCGCAGAATTGCAATCATGTTATTCTGCTGATGCGAGCCCCCCATCCTGCCCACGCCGGTGACCGCCAGGTGGTGGACCCCTACACGGGGGCGGCGCTGGCCGAGGCCCCGGGGCTGCCAGATCCGGTCGAAAACATGGTCTGGGAGTTCCCAAGGTAAGCGTTGGGGGCACGCTGCATGATTGGCGGCCGAGCCCCGCGCCCCGCCTCGACAAACATGGAGGGACACAGTCTTGAGCCTGCTGGCGCTGGACAGCGTTGTAGCTTTGCCATCAGCATTCGTCATTGGAGCAGGTATTGGGCACACCTGCCACGCTGGCAGAGCATCTCATCTGAGCCCTAGGCATCTGGGTCAGGCTGTCAGTACCCCTTGCTCCCCCGACTGCTGCCTAGGCACGCGATCGCAAAGGGCGCAATACTCCTCAGGAGTCTGTGCGCACCCCCATGCTCTAAACCAAGGCCCAGCCGCCCCAAGCCCACGCAGGGCCGGAAAGGAAAGCCTTTCAATGTTTGCTTAGAACCCGCCTAATGGCACCCCAACCTTGCCCTCACACCCGTACACAGGATGGGGCCCCAGGTGATGCTGCGCGCTGACGTCATCACGCCCGGCAAGCCGATGCGCTACGAGTTCATGGCGTTTGGCGGGAGCTTCATAGACGCCGCCCTGCGCAAAGACATCGCCAAGTGCGGTGAGCACAGCCTGCTGCGCCCTGCAAAACAAACCCGCATCACACCCGTCACCGGGCCTGGTGACAAGGGCGGGAAGATGGATCTTCAAATGCCGGCAAGGTGTACGGCATCTGATCTCCACAGGCGCAGCTTTGACGGCGTTCACTGAGCGGTCTTCTCACCGCCCCTGTCACCAGGCCCGGTGACGTGCGACCGAGAGAAGGGGGAGCAGCGCACCTGCTCGGAGTACAGCGTGCGCATAGGCCTGGTCCTGCACCCCAACGGAAGGTGAAGGGGCACTTGCTCATCTGCATGGTGTGCGCCAGCTAGCGGCTAGGTCTTCTTACCAACCCCAAAGTGTCATCTCATTGTCAAGTCTTGCTGGTGACGGCCTAATCAGGATGGAGGGAATGCCCGCGCCCAAGCAATGTGGCGCTCGGCGTTCAGGTCTCTGTCTTTATGCATGTGCGTGTCATTCTATTGTTACTCATGCATGCCGAGAGCATCACCACCACCTCCTGGTTGGCGAACCTGCCGGTCAAACGCTTACAGGCACGTCTTTGACCGCCAATGGGTGGTCGAGAAGATGCCGGGCCCGCGCTGCATTTTTGACGGCGTGGTGCTGCCAAACGGTCACGTCGTCCTCATCGGCGGCCAGCAGGTGCGGCTCCCGCATCTTCCCAATCTTGAACCAATCTTGATGACCCTCGTTCATCGAATTCTCGCGCCCCTGCTCGCGGGCACCGGCCGTTTGAGCAGCCACCGGCCAGTTACTGCACCCGCGTATATGAAGCGTGGTGGTGGGCGCTTCTGATTTTGGCTCATTTTGCTGATGTCATGATGACTGTGCCACCAACTACGCCTGGTGCGCCCGCAGCGCGGCATCGGGGACTTGACCAACGCGACGCACTACAACGGCGGCAACCAGCCCTGGAACAAACCCTGGTGCGTCGCCGCCCCACACAACAAAGAGATCCTGCGCGCGCGATCCCGCCCACCCCACCCCATGACGCCACCCCCCACCCTCATGCTGGCGTGGCCTGCTTGCATGCCACGCTTCCCGTCGTCATGGGGACGCGCTCATACTCTCTGAGGCGACGCGAACATGCTGGCTTCACTGGTGCCATACATCCACTGCTGCCACAAGGAAACCATGCCCGAATGGAAACCATGCCCGGAGAACCTTATCAAAAGTCACAAAGCCTGGCCGTCCTGATCTTCTCTCCAGGATCTACAACCCATATGCCAAGGCGGGGCAGCGCTACAGCATCCCCGGGGCCACCACCAAGATCGCGCGGCTCTACCATTCAGTGGCGCAGCTGACCAGCCAGGGGGACCTTCTTGCGGTGAGTCGTGTCATTTGGTGCCAGGGACGAACCCAGCGACAGCGCGGGGTAGGGATTAGTAAGGGGGGGGGTGTAACCTTCTTGCTCGGGCGGGGGGACTCTGAGAATGCAAGTCAGTGCATTTTCACAGCATCGAACTGCAACCAAGCAAGCGTATGTAGCGTCTAGGCATTCAAATCGGCGTCGGCTGCTGGCAAGCTTACAGCGCAATGCTGACAGCTGCTTGCTGTCAGGGCCTTTCCCCCACCTCATCCCGCCGCCACGCCGCCCCACGCGTTGTCCACAGACTGGCACCTCCAATGCGAAGTTCTGGGAGAGCAGCGACTCGAAGGACTTCTCCAGGACACCCCTGGGGGTGAACGAGTACCGCCAGGTGGGGCCTTGATGAGTCAATGCCTAGGGGGGTGGGCATGGGTGGTTGGCCATGATCGGCGGCCGGTTTGATGCCAAGACAGGCGGTAAATCGGGGGTGGCCGGGGAGATGGGGGAAAGGGGGGCAGATGCATATGTGTAGGCGGGAGGCATTGAATTTGGTGCGCATCGATGTTTTGAGTGTAAGTATTGCCAGCTGCAGCTAGCTTAGGCGACTCGCGCTGCGCTCCCCCACTGGCAGATAGACGGCAGCACGCCGCTGCACGGCTGCACTGAGCCCCTCCCACCCCTCGTCGTCCTCCCCCCTCTCCATGTCGCCATCAAAACCACCTCCTCCCCGGCCCCGGCCCGCCCAACCCGCAGGAGCTCTTCCTGCCCCCATACCTGTTCCGCGCCAACCGCCCCGCGCGTGCCGCACCCGAGGCGCCATCCTGGGTGCCCTACGGCGGCACCTTCCAGATGGGCTACCGCTTCCCCGATGCACCAGGTGCGTCGGCTCTTGCAGGGCTTGCGATGAGACGGCCATCTATACCTACGACTCAGCGCCCAGCCTGCTGAATGGGTCTTGCTTGTGTTTCAGCAACCGCTTGGGTGAAGGCAGGCGGGGGTGTGATGCGAGCGTCACTTTGGTCGCACAGAGCAGACGTCGGACTCGGAGAGGCGTCGGCGCAAGGACGCTGCATGCAAGTCCTGTGGTAGCATCATGAATCCTCAGAGCGCCGGCTGCGTGCAGGCGCAGGCAGCATCCGCCCTCTGTCTCAACGGCTCGCCACAGCCCACACTCTTCGTGTGACTCGCCCCCGCACCCCCCCCCCCCCCCCCCCCCCCCC